AACTTTCACGTTCTTATATATCTGAGCAAAAAAAAAAAAAGATGATTATGAAAAAAAAAATGGAGTATACACTCTTATAGAAAACACAGTTGTGTATTTATTTTCTGGCTGATTTATTCTTGATAATTTACACGTATTTATTTATGGATTTCAAATGTTGAAATGTTCTTTCTTAGTAGATACATTGATTTCACTTCATCAGACATTGTTCAACAAGACAAAAACTGCTGAACAAAAGAAAAAAAACACACGCTCTATTTAATATTTCCAATAATTGCCAGAGGTAAATTTAGTGTATGAAAATTTTTAAACTAAATAAAATCAACGAATTTAAATATTTTTTTTAAATCTAAAATTCTCATAATCATAAGTTCGAATAAGTATATAAAACCTGTCCTTTTTGAGAGCTTTGCGTTGAACTTTGGAACAAAATTACATTATTATTAATTTTTTTTTTTTGCTATACTAATTTCTTTCCATCAGATTTTTATCAATAAATCAAAATTTTTTCGGTGTAACTTTCTGAAGGTATACCTGACAGTATTTTAACGTGTTTAAAAAACGGTATTTATTATTTAAGTTAACTTTGTTTTTACAGTAGTAATGTGGATTTAAATTGTCTTATTTTTTGTTATATTTTTATGTATAAAAAATGACACTAAGGTTTTTAGAATAAATTTATTGGCATTAACGTAAGAAAAAGAATGATAGTGACGTCTGTCTTGGTAAGTTTTGTAATGTTAGTATTTGTTTTTTGAGTTTAGGTGTACTACTAACACAGAGTTGAATAGTTTAGCGTGACAACACAGTTGAAATAAATCAATCCATAGTCATGTTAATATAAGTGTTATCAGTGATTCGTTACTTTGAGATATAACTGGCAATCTTCGATGCAAGTCTTACAACGTATAATTCCTGGGTAAATCAGTACACTAAACGTATATAATCAGTGGGTTAACTGGTGCACCAAACATATAGACTCAGTGGATTAACCGGTGCACTAAACAAAGAATATCAGTAGGTTAATTGTGCACTAAACATAAAGAATATCATTGGATTAACTGGTGTATTAAACTTATAGAATCAGTGGATTAACTGGTGCACTAAATGTGTATAATCAGTGGATTAACTGGTGCACTAAACGTGTAGAATCAGTGGATTAACCGGTGCACTAAACAAAGAATATCAGTGGATTAACCGGTGCACTAAACATAAAGAATATCACTGGGTTAATTGGTGCACTAAACATAGAGAATATCATTAGGTTAATTGGTGCACTAAACATAAAGAATAACACTGGATTAACCGGTGCACTAAACATAAAGAATATCAATGGGTTAACTGGTATACTAAACACATAGACTCAGTGGATTAACCGGTGCACTAGACATAAAGAATATCAGTGGGTTAACTAGTGCACTAAACATAAAGAATAACACTGGGTTAACTGGTGCACTAAACTTATAGAATCAGTGGATTAACTGGTGCACTAAACGTGTAGAATCAGTGGGTTAACTGATGCACTAAACGTGTAGAATCAGTGGATTAACTGGTGCACTAAACGTGTAGAATCAGTGGGTTAACTGACGCACTAAACGTGTAGAATCAGTGGGTTAACTGGTGCACTAAACGTGTAGAATCAGTGCATTAACTGGCACAATAACTTATACAAAAGCACAATGAATGAAATATGAAAACCACAAAACACAGGAAACCTAAATCTCCAAACTTCTTCATAAAGCTGCACGTGAATCTTTTCGACCAATTATACTTTACAAGAATACTGATCATGACTAGTTCTTACATTTCAGATTTTATGCCCCAATATATTTTTCAACTGAAATAGCCGGACATTTTGTTGTTATTTCTGATAGAACTTTCCCAAAAGAAGTGAATTTGTTATGACCTACATGAAGCAATTTTTTTTCTAACAAGTTTATTGCACATTGGAAGGTTTAAATCAGAAGTAAACGGTTTCTGCATTATTGATTGGTCATTAAATACATACTATGATAGCTCTTTGTTTAACTTCACCTTATTTTTCAACTATTGACCGATGTAGTTGCTGGAGTTATTTCAGAAAGTTTCAGACTATTAACATAACGTATTTTATAGCTTATTAATTTTCTGCGTTTTAACCTGTTTGGTCAATGACTTAATCATCTAAACTCATTAAAGATGTTACTTTAAACACATATTTACTTATAGATTAAATGCGATATTTCTAACCCATATCCGGGAAACACTACAATTTACAGTATACGAATCACGTCGATCTGTAAATAGAGTTTCCTTCTTTCTTTCTTTTTTTTGCAGTAATTAAAACATTAGGAATATTTTGGGTTTTATTTTAAATGATAAAACCAAATATTAATAAATCTCGTGAAAAAAATTACAGAAATTATCAGAGACAAATAGTAACAGTTTTATGATAAAATTTCGAAACTTATAATGAACATGCATTGCTGTCGCTTGGAGTTAAAAAATCAAAAGTGTGTTTTATTTGGAGTTAAAAAATCAGAAGTGTGTTTTATTTGCTTTCCATATTTCCAGAATCTATTACAGAAAATATTAGTGTGTTAACTTATGCGTGTTATTATATTTCCCCAATTTCTTTAAAAACATAATACTAGTATGTTCGTGTAATTTAGATCTTGTTTACTGAGTTTAATTCGATTTAAATCCAAACAATACAATGATTTCAACACGGTATATATAGGTTTGTTTACTAGTTTTGTTTTTTTATGCATAACAAGCATATCTTTCGTATGATATGTTTTTTCTTCTAATTATATTTTACCAGAAAGTCTGAATAATGTAGCTTTTATGGGTTAGACAGTGTACTGACAAGTGTTTTTATGGATTAGACAGTGTACTGACAAAAGTTTTTATGGGTTAGACAGTGTACTGACAAGTGTTTTTATGGGTTAGACAGTGTACTGACAAGAGTTTTTATGGGTTAGACAGTGTACTGACAAGTGTTTTTATGGCTTATCTGGGTAAGGCAAAAGGAAATGTTTATTTAAGAGGCTGTGAAACACTAATAATAATAAATCAGAGGCGAGCAAAAATCAACAAAAGGATTTCTTAATATTTGGTTAACACAAGATTCGATTATCATAGTGATGTTCGTAGGATCTATTTAGAACACTGTCTAATATCTCCAAGTTTCTACTGTATATACATAGCAATGGTGCAATGTTGTTGTTGTTTTTTGGGTTAATGTACAGTAGACGTTTTAACTAAAATGTCAGTGTCTGGTAAGCAGCTCATTTTCGATTTGTGCTTTTACAACAATATTATTTTTACTGTTCAAGTATTTAACTTTATCCTCGATCTTAAAGTTTTCCCAATGATGTCTGTGAATAACAGCTGATAATTAGGAATAACAATATGGTTCCTTAATTCCCCCCCAAAAAAACCCTTAAAATCTGTGTTGAAAAAGTGTTGAAAGTAAACAATACCGGTAAACGTGGCTATCACGATTACTGCCTCAAATAGAAATCAAAATAGCTCAATTTAATATGATCAAAGTAGGTTATATTAATATACTAGTGTCGAATCACAGTGGCATAAATTTGAAATTGTGTTAACGTTGTTGAAAATTGAAAGTTTGTCATATTCTAAAATTACTTCTGTGTATTATATTACTATCATTTTGTTCTATCCATTCGAATGTATCCTATGTATTCGGTTGATGTTTCTATAGATACGAAAACTCCCTGGCTTCAAATACTTCTTTTTGAAATACGAGGTCAGTTTCAAAGGTCAAGGTCACCAGGAAAGAAATGAGATTGAAAATATCGGTATTTCTTTATTTGCCCTTGAATGTGTTTTCTTAAGAGGGGTTTTAAATTCCAGAATTAAGACTAAGTTCTAATTATAGAGCGAAATGTAAAATAACAGAAACGGTGATGATAGGTGTCGTGAACATAGCTTTGTACTTGTGAAATCTGGTGACAGCGGGAAAGATATATAGAAGATCGGGTGATTAAATACGATTAAGGATATC